TCAAAATGAACAAAAATAGAAGAAGTAATTAAAAGAAAATTAATTTGAAATAATATAAATTGAAAAATAAATAACTTTTATATAAGAGGAAGAAAAAAGAAAGAAAAAAGAAAATATATTAAATAAAATACTAGCTAATAGATAGAAAAGGGGGAAGAGGAAACGAGTGAGAAAGAGGGAGTGAAAAATGACAAATAACTAATTAAATTAATAAATCATTATAATCAATTATTATTTATACTTCAAGAAAGAAAACCTCATTTTAAAAAATCATTAATGATAATACCATAAAACTACCATAGTTTATTTACCAAAATGAAGTGAGATGATTGATAAAGTGAGTGAAAAAAAAACATAAAAAAAAGGGAAAATAATAACAATAACAATACTAATCAAGAAGAAGAAGAAAGGAGAGATATGTAGGTAGCTTTCATTCCCATTTAAGATACTAAAATAATAATCAAACAAAGATTGTTATTATTATTATTATTATTATTGATTGAAATGATGATGATGTTATTATTTTACCCTTTTCCACATAGATATATACGTACATATGTTGTTTTTCTTTCTCTCTTCTATTATATCCACATTAAGTATCAGAGTAAATTAAATAAAAGCCAGACGACGAACAACGGATATACACAGGAATTAAAGATAAATTATTAATTTTTTTACGCACAAAAGATGAAAATGGTGATAATGATATGTTTTCTTTTTTCTCTCTCGCTGTTCCTACTCTTCCCTGTGTAAAAAAGCCAAAACAAGGTGAGTAGATCGATAAGAAAATTTAACAAATAAATCTCTCGCTAAGCAAAGAGATATTTATTAAAATTTCAGTGGTTTGAGGGATATTTATCCGAGATTCCATTAGTTTTTATTATGCATATTTACACAGAACCTTTTGCTACTTTGTAGCTTAACTTCTTTCTTCCTCTCTTTTCGCTGTTTTAAACAGAGACACCCTTAGTAGATTATTTTAAAGACAGAGCGTTTATCTCTCCATCGTCATCTCTTTCAAAATCCATAAAATTTAACGTTAAAGTAATAATAGCAAACGTAAATAACTTTCTCTCTCTGTATGTGTTGGACGATTTACTGGTACTACAAGGCTTTCCCTTCCCATTCATTGATTCATACGTAAGAAGGGTAAAGCGGTAATTAAATATTTAAATGAAAACGTGAGAGAGAGAGAGAAAACACCCAATAAAATAGCATTGACGTTGAAGATGACATGCTGTATATACTTCGTAGAAATTTGATGCCAAAGAAAGTAAGCGGATATTTCCAGTTTTGACTAATAACTATATTTTAGTACAGGCATTGCTTTGGTAAACATATATTTGGGTGTATGAAATCACAGTAATACACGTACAATTTTTGTTTATTTGAAATGTTTATTGTTTGTTTTTCTAACGCGGACAGTGTTGTCGGGCTGTTTCTCTTATTGAATGCTTGGGGGTACATGGGAAACAAGAAAGCGCGCGGGTTTTTAAATTTTCTTTTTTCTTTGTTTGTTTGTTTGTTTGTTCTTGTTTTGGTAAAATACCTTCTAACAGGAAAGCCCGCAGGGCCATTCCACTATTTTATTTTCTTTTTTCTTTTTGTTGTTTCTCGTTCTTTTTTTGTCGTTTGTTTATCTATAACTGAAAGCGGATTTGCCCGTTTCGGCATTCCCTTTTTTCGTATCCATTACGTTCTGATATTTTTAACCAGGGTTTTTTTTTGTCTTTCTCTTCTCTCCCTCTCACACACAATTTTGAAGAAGACCATTTCAAGTAAAATATCCGAAATTGGATAAATATCAACTCGCAATTTTTTTCTTAAAATATTTGAATTCTTGTCCTACGATATTTTGTTACTATCGTAAAAGGGTTTTATTACTTACTTAATTTTAATTAATTACGTGATTGGAATCTTAAAAAAATAATTGGAAAAGGAGGGTAACAGACATATTTAATCTTTCCTTCATTTTAAAGGATTCGGATCCAATTTTTTACCTTATGAGGTAATATTACCAATTAAATGTCATATTTTTTTTCTTTTTTTCAAAGTTCATTCAATTAAATATGAAAATGTATATCTATATTATGTGTTTGTTATACAAGGATTTTTGTTATTACTACCTACCGGATATCTTCTCTGTCTTTAGTCCTTTTCTGTCAGATCGCTAAGACTATCATGTAGCCATTGAAAAATTTCATCAATGACTTCCATACCATCAGATATAATATTTTCTATACCAGATTCTATTGAACCGCTGCTCGTAGATAATGATGACGTTTGTTTTACAATATTTGATTTTTTACTACTTGTAGTTGTTATACTACTTGTTGTCATAGTAACTGATTTACTAGCAACTATTGATGAAAAATAAATTTCCTCTTCTTCATTTTGTTCATCTTGTTCATCTTGTTCATCTTGTTCCTCGTGTTCATTATCAGAAAATGTAATATGACGAATTGATACATCTTTATCAATATCTAACTGTAATGATTCAATATTTCTATCATGTATTGATAGTCCACATAATTCTGTTAAAATTTCATATATGACTCTATTTGACATCCTTTTAACAGTTTGGATTGTTCCTTTATTATTATTAGCTGAAAAGGCAGGACCTAATCCAATGAATACTGATGAACCATTGTTTGGAGGATTAGGTGTGGCTTTAGTTTCGTCTTCAATAAAATTAAATGGATAACCACCTAAGATATATTCAGATTCTGAATCTAATTTAAATTTCTTCCCATCATATCTATTAATCATCTTATCTTTAGTCTTTGAATCCTTAAAACCGTACCCTTTTTGTGGTATAATCATAATATCTCCCATTTTATCCATGGTATTCTTAGTATAACTATCTAAATGCCATGAAGAATGTAAATCTCCTTTTAATTCAACTTGAATATGATCCTTATGTGGTCCATTAATTAACTTCCCATATATTTCATTCTTATTCTTATTATCAACGTAAATAGATAATAAATTATCATTGATTTGTGATGACCTTATTAGTCGATCATTGATATCTTCACCAATTTTTGAATCATCATTCAATAATTCATTTAATGTTAATATATGATCATATGGTACTGTTTCCGTTGAAACAAATCCAAAATTACTCACTAATAAAATATTTGTAAAACCTAAAAGATGACGTCTGTTTAATTCAATAATCAATTTAGTGACTAATGTATCAATTTGGCGTAAATCATCCATTTGTCCCTTGGAACCTTTAGAATATATGTTACTGGCATAATTTATAAATGAATTCAAAAATAATTGTGGACGTTTTTCAATGTCATACATGTCTATCAAATCTATAATCCATTCAATGGTCTCAGAATCACTATGTTTTGCATGTTTCTTGTTTGGTTCACGATCTAAATAATATGTTGGTGTATAATTCCCATGATTCCAAACAAAATAACTATCCATGGCAACTTTAAAATTTTGAAATGTTTGTTCCATTTGTGACCAAATTGGTTGATATTGTAATTTACTATGTTTCTTTTTCGATTTAAATGTATTTGAAAGAAGTGTACTATTGTCACCATCAAAAAATACACCATGTTTTCCAGGGGTTAATCCTGTCATCATACTCCAAACGTTTGCATCATTGGATAAGGGAAATATTGGGATCATCCCATCCTGTGCAATCATCACTGAGTTATTCTTTAATAAATGACTCTCAGAAAATTCACCTGTATATAACTTAGTTACTAATGGCATTGTGTCACTTGTTATACTCTTCACGTTTAATCCATCGACTTTAATGACTATATTGATAGGATAAAATTCGTGTGTACCATTATTATATCTTATATTTGGATCAAGATCTGTTTGGAAAGGATGAATACTGGCACTATATTGTGAATGTCTATGATCATATGTATCAGGATCAAAATCAAATATCTTTATCATTAAAAATACTATCATTCCCGTAACTATTGATAAAAGTGCAACATATTTTAATCGTCTAATATTGGCTTGGTTTTTTATCGAACTATGACTTAAAAACATTGGCGCTTCATCATCATTATCATTATCGTCGTGAATCTCATGACCGTCAGCTGATAAATCATACAGCGGTACACCTATCCTCTCCATAGAATTTCCTACTGTTCCTTGCACTACATTCTTTAACCACCAAAATTTTGCACGTTTCCATAGCTGCCAACTTCTATTTTCATTATTGTCTTGGTATTCGTCCAAAAAATCATCTTCAAATATATCTTGATCATTCATATTCTCTTTTTTTCAAATAGATGGATATATGTATTCATTTAACAAAGGTAACCAATTGAAAAAAGTTATCTGATCGCTGCTTTTAAAGTTGTACCTTTTCGAAACAATACAATATGAAAGGACTTATTCTTCTTTAGCTGCAATTATATTCTTACCTATTCGCTTGTCTCTGCATCTACTAGAAGAAAGAGCTTCCATAGTAGTCAAAGTGACTCCCTATATCCAATATTAAGTAATATTTTACGTAGTTTATCAAAATTTGCTGTTTGTACGTCCGACTAACTCCGTTTCTAGGCTCATCAATGAAAAAAAAAATAGGTATCATAGATATATAAAATAGCGTATATTATTTTTTTTATTATATTACAAATGTACATATAGATATATATATATATGTATAACCTTCATTGTTCGTTCTTGGATTTTTCCAGTCTATCTTTCATTTCATTTAATGTCTCCAATTTTTTATCTTTATTCATTAAATAAGTGTCTAATTCGCTACGATCTACCAAATTAAACAACTCACACATGTTTTCACGTTGTGTAAGTAGTTGATAAGCTGTGGCAGTCTTTAATGTTATACTCTCATTTATTTTAGGCATCACGCTCAACGTACGTATATGTGTATGTATAAGTCAACACAAGTTGCTTTTTTATCCTTTATAGCTTCATTTATGTCGTTCACTCTCTTGTTCTTAACACTACTACTCACCAATCCTTTAAAAAATCAAATATTATTTAGTTTCATTTCGCGGTTTGTTCAAAATTTGAATGTTTTTTTGAAATTTTTGTTCCTGACAGTGCAGATGCGCAAACAAGAAGGCAGTTGGCACTTCTCTGCCCAATATTACATAACCTTACCAACAATATATATATAAATATATATATATAGACAGACACACAAACAGACAGAATTTCTAGTCTTTCTATTCTATCTGGTAGGATTAACAATAATTAAAAAGGTGACATATAATTGAGCACTTCGTCGAAAGACTTGTTTTACAAAAATATTTTTTTCCCTACAATAATGGATGCTCTAACGTTGAAGGATATAGTGGGAGCCACTCTATATATAACGATCAGTGAAGTCCGTTCACTTAAGGGTACTTTAGTTGCTGTTGATGCCCAAGCTAACTTGTTACTAGATGAAGTTGATGAGTATTGCCCTGATAATGTTCGTAAATTAGGGCTTGTTAGTGTTCCATTTGCCACTATTAGTGATATACAGATTCACAAAAATTACGTGAATAAAATTGAAGATTACAAAAGACAGTGTCAAAAAAATATTGTATAAATTGAGTGATGCTCCCTCTAATGGAATACTTCAATCAGTTACTTAACTAGATAACATTCACGTTTATTATGGAAATGAGTATAGATCGTGGAACACTTTGGTAGTAGTACTTTCACGACCGGCCTCAGGCGATTTAGTGGACGGAGTCCAGTATTTTTCTCTCTTTCTGTCTCGTTCGCTGGGAATTATAAGATGATTGCCATGAAAGACTCTTAAGAGCATCAAATACTAAGAATGTTACATACGAAGTGGGTGTTAATAATACATGGTTAAATGTGTATATATATATGTATATATAAGGCTGTGATGACCCTATTTTCTGTTTTTAACATGGATTGTTCAAATTTAACATTGGTCTCGTTTCTGTTTTGTAATGTTTCTGATGATTTGATATAATAGGAAACACACTCTCAGAATTATGACCCCTACAACTACACACGCTTTACTCGCTAAGTATTCTCCTTTATATAAAGAAACTACTCAGCACCAATTGACTAATAAATTATGTCAAGGTACATTAAATGATCGTACTCTATACATCTATTTAGCTCAAGACCTAATGTTTTTCGAAAGTAGTCTAAGGTTAATTTGTAAAGCAACTTCCTTAGCTCCAGAATCCGATAGTCTGTTAACGTTAGCTAAAAAAATCGGTTTTTTCGCTAATGATGAAAATACATATTTTAGAGATTGTTTAAAAGAGGTAGAAGCTGCCGTACCATCTAGTGAGGAACGTCACAAATTTTTAAAGGAAATGTTACCTGGGGTCAATGAATATATTAAATTCATTGAGGAAAGTGTCGCTGATACAAGTCTGACATATGCCCAATATATCACAATCATTTGGGCTTGCGAACAAATTTATTTAAGTTGGGCACATGAATCACCAAAGAAGAAAGATTTGCATTGGAAGCATCAAACTTGGATCGATCTACATGATGGGGAACACTTCATTTCATGGTGTGACTTCTTAGAAGCAGAAGTAAATAAATTTTCAATTGAACAAGTTGAAAAACAATTTACTGCTGTTTTACAACATGAATTCAATTTCTTTGATAATTGTTACAAAGCTTGAATATTTGATCCTTGTCCACATCTATTTGTATAATTTGGAATATATATCATCCGCTGAAATCGATAAATTGTATAATGTAATGTAATATTCAAGCCGCTCTTTGAATGTCAATGTATTATTAATTTTTTTACTGATTTTGTCAAATTTTGCAACTCCGATTTGTTCAATGTTACAACCTGCAGTAATTGTACCACATATGTTACTGATTTGAAGGTCATTGGTCAACGCATAAGCTATTGAAAATCCTCCAAGGAATGAATTACCACCACCTGTAGGATCCACAACTTCGTCTTGAGTTAATAAATGATATGCAGGTAAATAAGATGATTTTCGAATACCATCAAAATTTTTTGGAGATAATATCATGCTCCCCATTTTACCACATCTCAAAACACAACTGTTCGTAGGTTTTATATAATCTGTAAATTTGTAAAGTAATATCTTGCACTGGTTAATACCAAGAGGTTCCTGTATGCCAAATAAACGGGCGCCTTCTTCACAATTTGGTGATAAAATAACATTTTCATTTCTATTTAATATATGTTTAATTGTATCGTAGTTTTCGATAATCATTGAATCCGGTAACGGTTCCCATACAAATGTTGGCATATCTATTTTATCATCTCTAACTTGGGATAATTGGTCCATAATTTCTTGAATACGATCCGGTGAACAAACTAAATGAAAGCATTTTATACCATTAACAGTTTTTATTCCATATTGGTTAATCCAATCTGAGGCAGTAATTTGTTTTTTGGGTGTCAAATACTTAAATTGTCTTAAATCATTTTCACCATAAAAATTGGCCCCTCGAGTTGTCAATCGTTTAGTAGAATCACGGAAAATGGCACCAGAATTCCACTGGTTAATTTCTACTGTTATCTTCTTAGGAAAATCAGAACCTCGATCAACAATCCATCCACTTAAGCCATCTCTGACGATGCAAGATGCAAGTATGGCATATGTTCCTGCTCCGCCAATTACGTCTGAAAAGTGATCTCCTGAAAACGTATGTATATCATCTAATATGATCATACCATTTGTAGTAAATAACATTTCTCACCAAATTGATACTTGCGTTTCATCTGATATTCTTTTGTTGTTGACCAAAAGTACGATTGAAAATTTTGTTTACTGAAATAGTGTAGTTTCTTCTCTTTGGAATTTTTCAAAAGCATTTTTTATCTTCGAACTTTGAAACTTCACAAGAAAAGTCAACAAAACGTTAAAATAAAACAAGAAAAAAAAATGAGATTGGATTAACTTGAAAAAAAGTATAAATAATTGGGAACCGGTTAAAGTGGTGTCCTTTTTATGTCATAAATTGAATTTATAAACTCAAATTCCAAATCAAAACAATTTTACTTATAACTATTTTTTTTTTAATTTCTTTTCGAAGTTAGGAGTCAGGTATCATAATTGACTTTGTCTCGTAAATGCCATAGAGAATATGTTGAATTGACGCTCAAAGAAGTAAAAATATTTTAGCTACTTTGGGTCTCACTGAAAAAGCAGCATCCTGCATGGACATCTGAAACTCCCTTATTAAAATGTGTCTAGCAGACTGAAATTATCGGACTTGAATTTCCTTCGATACATTTTTATTTCTTGACTAACTAAATTTGTTTAGTGTTACGAAGATAGTAGGATAAATAATATAGTGTGTACATGCGTGAAATTGATGGAGGTTAAACAGTTTACCTGAATAGTAAATATGACACAAAAACTATAAAAACTATAATGAGATGTAACATCCCTTAAGTTTGGCACCTCGAATAATTGTTGTTGAGTAATGACTATTCAAGGTGGTTTTAAACTTAAGGGATGTTAATTAGTTACTTCTTTCTAATTTTTGCAACCAACTTTTTATTTCATAATTTCTTGTACAGAACGAATAGAGCCTAACTGAAATCGCGAGTTCAGATTTAATCTCATTTGTATTTGTTTATTTATAAAAAAAGTATTTTCCGCTTGTTAGACAAAACTGGTTTATTTCACATTTTCGTATTATTTCTGTTGGATCTTGGAATTATTAGATGAATCCATTTCTTTAATATGGTACAAAATTTATTTTATTAGAATTCAACGTATAGTCGTCTGATTTCTTTAGTATACAAATTATAAATAATATACAAAATAATCAGGGAAATAAAATATTCCAATGCATGAAATATTGTTCCCTTTATATACCTTTGGATTGGGTAACATTTCGTGATTATAAATCTCCAATACTAGCGTTGTAGAAATTATGCATGGTTTCTAAATGCGTCTTATTATTATCTTTTCTCATTTTGGATTGTTAAATATTGAACAATATCAAATCTGACAATCTTTATTATTCTTTTATTTTTATATCTTATATTCTTGACGTCATTCTTCTATCATGTAAATTCCGACAATTTCACATTATATGTAAAATATTTAAGATATACTCTTTCCACGTACTCTCCTCCAAAATGAACGTTAAATACACAATCTAATTATTTTCCAAACACGGCTACTATACATTCCTAGATGGGTTCCCTTGCACTCTTTTCATATTAGATAATGAACTCAGTGTCAACGCCTTTCAAGCATTCATAAAACGACTACATGTTAAATTTACGCACATGTATTAATTGGGACTTTAAGGTTCAGCCGCACGATTATAATAATTATCATCGTGTACGGACATCAACAAATGTCGATGCGAGAACAACAAATATAAGATGAAATTAAGTCAAAGATAGCACATATAACATATAACTATATAAT